GCGAGGCGTCAGCCGACACCCCCGCGGGGCTGCGGGCGCCGCTGCGGGTGTTCGCGGGCGCCCTGCGCGTCGCCCGCGCCTGTCGCCTACACCCGCAGCTGCTCTCGCAGACCTTCGGCTACCTGTTCTTCTTCTGCAACGCGGCCCTGTTCAACACGCTCATGGAACGGGGTGCGCAGGACGCCGGGGCCCCCTCCTGTTCGGGTGTAGGGTGGTGATGGGGCCAGGACCCCCTCCCGTTCGGGTGTAGGCTGGGAGGCCCCTCGGCCGCCTGTATCCCACTCCTAGACACGATATAGGGTGTTGGGGTGTCGATGGGGTGACATCCCAGACACCTGGGCGCAGGGTGGGTAGGGGGACACCAGGCTCCCCTCCTGTTCAGGTGTAGGATGGTGGTAGGTCCGGGGCCCCCTCCTGTTTGGGTGTAGGGTGTGGGGGGGGGTTGCCCGGATGCCTGGGCCCTTCCCGGTTGGTTGTGCGGAGGGCGAGAGGGACCGTCCCGGACGCCTGGGCCCCTTCCCGCAGCTCCTCCGGAGCAAAGCCGGGGGAGGGCGAAGAGCCCGGACGCCTGGGCCCCCAACACCCGTTTCCTCCCATTGTCCCCGTCACTATCAACAGGAAGCGGCCGCTTCCCAACCGCCTCCGTCCCAGGCGGAAGCGGCCGGGGGCGCCGGGCAGGGGGGAGAACGCGGGTGACGCTGACAACACCTTGACCCCCCCCCCCTCTCCCACGCACACCCCCGTCGGGGTGTCGCTGTGTCCCCCGGCTCCGCAGGCTCCGCCGGTCCCTTTTTCCAGTGGTCGCGGGCGGTTCGCATCCGCACCAACCTGGATCTGCTCCTCGATTGGCTCCAGGCCGTGGGACTCGGCGACATCGGAGCCGAATTCTTCCGGAAGCTCTCGGCTACCGCCAACCTGCTGTGCACCCCCCGCGGCACCCTAGCCCAGGTGACGGCAACACCCCGACAACACCCCGCCGGCCAGCAGCACCCTGGCGCGCCCTCCCCGCGCGCTACAGGCGGAGGGAGCCGCTCGCCCAACGCTTCCGCCGCTCCTACAGGCGACCTGGGCCCGGTTACGCGGTGACTACCCCGCGCTGACCCCCGCCCAGCTGCACCACGTGCTCAGCCACTACCAGCTGGGCCCCGGCCGGGGGTACCCCGAGTGTTGGACACCGCCGGCGGAGGAGCGGGAGGAGATCGCCACCGGTACGTACCCCCGC